GAGCCGGGAGCCGGGCTGCTCCGGGGTCCTGCTGCCTCCACTGCTCCGCACAAAATGGCTCTTTCCTGCGTTCATTGCGCACGGGCGCGGACATCGCTTGCGGCCAGCGAGTCTACCTCGCACAATGTGGGGACCCCCCCACTATACAGAATGGGGGACAATAACTCCCCACATTTCCCAGCTGGGGCATCAGGCTTGTTCCCACATTGGAAATGGGAGCTAGGACTCAGGGCAGAGGGTTAGGAGATGGGGGCTCGGGACTCAGGGCAGAGGGGTAGGAGATGGGGGCTCGGGACTCAGGGCAGAGGGGTAGGAGATGGGGGCTCGGGACTCAGGGCAGAGGGGTAGGAGATGGGGGCTCGGGACTCAGGGCAGAGGGGTAGGAGATGGGGGCTCGGGACTCAGGGCAGAGGGGTAGGAGATGGGGGCTCGGGACTCAGGGCAGAGGGGTAGGAGATGGGGGCTCGGGACTCAGGGCAGAGGGGTAGGAGATGGGGGCTCGGGACTCAGGGCAGAGGGGTAGGAGATGGGGGCTCGGGACTCAGGGCAGAGGGGTAGGAGATGGGGGCTCGGGACTCAGGGCAGAGGGGTAGGAGATGGGGGCTCGGGACTCAGGGCAGAGGGGTAGGAGATGGGGGCTCGGGACTCAGGGCAGAGGGGTAGGAGATGGGGGCTCGGGACTCAGGGCAGAGGGGTAGGAGATGGGGGCTCGGGACTCAGGGCAGAGGGGTAGGAGATGGGGGCTCGGGACTCAGGGCAGAGGGGTAGGAGATGGGGGCTCGGGACTCAGGGCAGAGGGGTAGGAGATGGGGGCTCGGGACTCAGGGCAGAGGGGTAGGAGATGGGGGCTCGGGACTCAGGGCAGAGGGGTAGGAGATGGGGGCTCGGGACTCAGGGCAGAGGGGTAGGAGATGGGGGCTCGGGACTCAGGGCAGAGGGGTAGGAGATGGGGGCTCGGGACTCAGGGCAGAGGGGTAGGAGATGGGGGCTCGGGACTCAGGGCAGAGGGGTAGGAGATGGGGGCTCGGGACTCAGGGCAGAGGGGTAGGAGATGGGGGCTCGGGACTCAGGGCAGAGGGGTAGGAGATGGGGGCTCGGGACTCAGGGCAGAGGGGTAGGAGATGGGGGCTCGGGACTCAGGGCAGAGGGGTAGGAGATGGGGGCTCGGGACTCAGGGCAGAGGGGTAGGAGATGGGGGCTCGGGACTCAGGGCAGAGGGGTAGGAGATGGGGGCTCGGGACTCAGGGCAGAGGGGTAGGAGATGGGGGCTCGGGACTCAGGGCAGAGGGGTAGGAGATGGGGGCTCGGGACTCAGGGCAGAGGGGTAGGAGATGGGGGCTCGGGACTCAGGGCAGAGGGGTAGGAGATGGGGGCTCGGGACTCAGGGCAGAGGGGTAGGAGATGGGGGCTCGGGACTCAGGGCAGAGGGGTAGGAGATGGGGGCTCGGGACTCAGGGCAGAGGGGTAGGAGATGGGGGCTCGGGACTCAGGGCAGAGGGGTAGGAGATGGGGGCTCGGGACTCAGGGCAGAGGGGTAGGAGATGGGGGCTCGGGACTCAGGGCAGAGGGGTAGGAGATGGGGGCTCGGGACTCAGGGCAGAGGGGTAGGAGATGGGGGCTCGGGACTCAGGGCAGAGGGGTAGGAGATGGGGGCTCGGGACTCAGGGCAGAAGTTGGATGTGGGAGGACTCAGGGCAGAGAAGCTGGAAGCTGAGCGGGGATGTTAACATGTACAAAGTTATCCCATAAGCCTGGACTCGATTAACCTGCACATCGCAGGCATCTGACACACACACAACAGGGGTGAGAGGAAGCAGGCTGACTCCCATGCCACTCTCCGCACAGAGAGAACGGGATCGGGCGCCTCCCTGC